TTTATGGATTTTGTAAAGAAAGATGAAACAGTCTAAATACAGAAAACAGTGAACGCCACGGTTTTCAACTTTAAGATTTAGAAGTTCAACTAAAATTTTCCTAAATCAAATTCATAGTCGTTCCCTAGCAACGATGCAAAAAACTTAACACGCACAAAGCGTTGCGAAGCATGGGCGGCTCACGCAAGTATACTTCACATTTCAGTAGTACAGGGGTTTGAGTCCGGCTGTCGATCCCACAGGGAATAAGATGAACTTAATTAAGAAAATTTATAGCCAACTATCATTAGTCAAAGCTTGAAAGTTTGAGTTGCAAGTTAAAGTTTAAACTAATCTTAAATTTATGAAACACAAGCCTAATTTAGCAAGCTGAAGAATGTTTGTAAGAAATTCAAGTTTCAAGAAGTTTACACCTTGAAATAATATAATAAAAAATACATGTTGATTAAGTGAAAAGTTAGTGTCAAACAGGAGTTGACCTATTCCTTATTTCCTTCTGATGGTATAAAAAAATTTGACTGACAACAGTTTAGTTTTCTAAATCCCTTGACAAAACTAGTTAAATTATCTCCTTGAATGTGAGCATAAACTCCAATGTAATATGTCTATTCCCAAGAGTTTATATGGTTCGCTTCTATCGCTCTACTATGTATCTTTCCGGATCGCATAGTTCACGATGGATTTTAACATTCCTACTAGCCAAATAGAAAGTTAAGTGAATGTTAACTCAACAATATTACATTCAATTAAAAATCAGATCACATAAAGTGATTCAACTCTATTTTTCCACCATACAATTCAAGGGGGAAATTAAAAGGTCTACGCACTTTTCATCATAAAAACCATCCAATCAAACTTTAAATTAGATAAAGAAATCATACACAGAGTTCTTCACTGAAATCCAATAGAGAATATAAAACAAAGTGTAATTATCTCTCATTCTCTTACAAGCAAGATGGATTGAAAAACAAGCTAGCAGTAATACACCTTTTTGTGATCCTCTCCAATCTCTCCAATTATTCTCTTAAGAAGTTCTTCGAAGAAGAAAATCTTCCAGTTGAAAAAATTCTAAGATACGAAAAACCAACCTTGCTTCTTCTTAATCTTCCTTTTTATATTCCTTCCGATCTTGATGTTCACTGATTTTTCCATCCAACGACTGAAGCTCTGCATCCCCAATTGGACCGTCTCCAACTATCTTCAGCGTTATGCGCCCATTGCTTGGCGCATAGGCGCCAAGCCTCCTGTAACGCACAACAATTAGAATCGGCACCACATATGCACTTGTTTCTTGGCGCATAGGTGCCAAGCTTACAACCTAAATGTTTGTAATTGGCGCATATGCGCCATTGCTTGGCACATGAGCGCCAAGCTTTCTGTCTCTCTGTTGTTTGCCTAGTTTAGGTAGCGCATAAACGCCTAAATCTCAACCCATAGGCACCAAACTGTATTCATGATACCTAGACATCTAAAATCAAATACACACAAAACACGGGAAAAGGAACAAAAATTTATAATAACTACAAATGATTAACATAAGTATTGAGTGTTATGTATATAAATACCCCTTTTATAATTTGTTAGGTTGGATATATATTTGTCCTTGTAGCATGTGCTTTCGATTTTGTTGAGTGATTAAATTTCTTTCATTGCCAAATTAGATTAAATAAGCTGATAACCACAAAATGGGCATTTTCTCACTAGATTTGAGTAGCAAACATTGAGGTAATATCCAAAATAATTTGCTATATGAACTTCATATAAGCTTTATTTTGTGTTGATGCATTGCTTTTCTTAAATCAAGTTTTATTTGCGTGGGAAACGCTGAAGGAAATCTGTACCCCATGCATTCATACCCTCCGTGGTTTCACCACCATCGAGAATGCATTTATGGAGCTGCTTGTTTGTTTTGCACAACATGGCGTATGTTCTATGTAAAAAATCATCAAAATTCAGTCTTAGTGAGCTATCATAAGTTATTTTCGTATTTTAGTTTTAGTTGTAGTTATTCTGAAAATAGAATTTTAGTGATGCACTCATTACCTTGTTTTTATTAGCCGTCCTATGTTATATCGATCAAAGTATTGGCAACAAGAAAGCCCGGACTAGAGTGCTTAATGTTGCAAAGATGAGACTGTTATGTTGGATTTATTGTGGAATTATGGAGCCAGTATCTGGAACTATATGATATGGCGTCAATATACCATGCATAGAAGATAATATAAAGTTTGGCATGATTGTTGTGGAAGGGCTATGCATGTGAAAGCCAACATGCAGAATTGGCAATAGCTATTATAATTCATTTAGGTAAATTATATTAAGCTCCAAATGCGTCTTTGAATATGGATGTATGGTGAAGAAATTTTAATGATCACCCAAATGGTTAGGATTAGGTAACGCGCACTATGGGTAGACCCTCAAAAATTATATTTTTTTTTACTTTTTTATAAAAAATATAATTTTTTATTAGTTGTTCACCCTAATTAATTATTTATATTTTTTTATAGAAACAACATAGACCCGCGCAGGCGTGCACTATTTGAACCCATTGATTAGACAAAGCCATATTCTTAGGTATTTTGGCGTGGTATTTGTAACAAAAAGAAAGAAATGAATAGTTTTCAATTATGACTTCCTAAGGGCCATTTGACATCATTTTTTTTGCTTTTATTTGTAATTTTAAAAACATGTCTGGTTTATATGATTTTTTATATTTTTATATAACTTTTTTTTAAAGTAAATCAATTTGTTTTTAAAGACACTCAAAACACCTAAAAGAAGTTTTGATTTTTTCTAAAATAAGTACCTCATCAAAACACATTTTGACTCAAATTAAAATAAAATAAAAATAAAAAATAAAAGTGTACCCAAATGGCTCCTTTGGTTGAGTGACGTTATGAATCCCTGATTGTTTCAAACCTTCTCTTTCTTTTTGGAACATGGTGATTTTGATGTATTTAAGTACTTGTTTCTTAGTTACCCCTCTTACAAAACCATTTTTTTGGGCTAAATGGTCTTTAATGTCTCTTCAACAGTGATTCAAATCCATGCCTGAGGTTTTCCACTTCTTGTAAGCTTTATTGTTTAGTCAGTTTAGAGGGAAGAGTTGAACTTGTTTCCTGCGTTTCGAGCTACTTCTCCTTTAAAAATTCCTCAAACATGTGTGCTCTCACATGTCACTCATCCTCTTCTTGCTTTGATTAGCTGCCTACATTACCATGTATAATATTTTTATTTTTAACTATGGTGCACGATGATGGGTATCAGTTTTTTGAGTTGCAATAGTTCAAGAATGGAACGAAACTAGTCAAACTAAAGTTCCTGAACAAGTATGTTGATCTGCGATGAGCCCTATTTCATAGTCCTACGAAGTGTGCACTTGTTGCTCAAAATCTGAGGGTGAGATCATGTTACTTCAACTTTAACCTATGTAAGAAACTTTATGTTCGGGAAAATCTACAGTTTGGAACTATTATAGGACAAGGATAACAATTTTAACATTGTTTTGGTGCATTTTATATTTGTTTTTGATTACTTGATACTGGCAAGCATGATTTTGTTGTGTATAATTATTGCTTGAGCAAAAATGAGCCTATTTGGTTAAACACTTCTGATACTGTAATTATTGCTTATTGCTGGCCGAGGCTAGATCACATCAATTAAATGAACATGTCTGCAGAAACTCTTTGCAATATGTTGCTGAGGTGTGAATTTTTCTAGAATGCATCCAATCTGCTGTTTTGATTCGTTTTCATTGATTAATTATTTTTTCTTAGCAATTTCACCTCAAGAAAATTCTTTTTTCATATTTCAGGTCTATATTCTGATATATGCATAAAAAGGCCTATCTTGCAAAGCGAGTCTTTTAATCATTACACTGTTATGTGATGGGTGACTAACAAAAGTTTTAAATGTGTAAAACACTAATTTGATTTTGCTTCTTTTGTGAGAATAGTTGTGGTATTGACCATTTGTTTCTCTAAGAAATATGTGAGAACAATTTTTACGTGTCTCGTACAATTAAAGAGTTCTCGGTTCATGAAAGAATGGAGTTTCACCGCATCATTTTTACAAACTTCATTAAATTGTTTGATATTTTTGACATGTTTTATAGGAAACTTTCCCATTATTTAAGTCGAGAGGATCTTAGAATCCTCTGTAAGTGTCAACAAGGACGGACATGTTTTCTTCTTATAGATTGTTGATGGTTGTAAGATATGGTACGTATTGGCATCGTCCTATGCGGAGCAGCACAATGACAATTGTAGGGTGGTTTAGTATAGAATATTCTGAATATGGTGCTAGAAATATGGTAGAAGGCTACAAGTCCTAGTGCTCATCACATCTTCAGTGTCAAATCAAGTTGATGTCAAATCAAGTTGATGGGTTGTGTGTGGGTTAGCTTTTACTTGCCCATTCAAAGCTCTAATGGCTTCTCCAAACTTGAACCAATTATTAATCAGGAGATTTACATGCACCATGCTTGATATTATTATTTAGTTTGTTATGAGATTCTACAGAATTAATTTTATGTACTGATGTTTGATTTTGTAATGTTGTGAGGGTGGAAGGATGGGCAAAATCAACCTCATTTTTCAGGGTGACCATACTTATTATGCAAATATAATGGCCAAAGATTTCACTAAGAATTTCTAGCAATCGAAAATTTTGATGATAGAGGAGATTTGAGGTTAGGATGGGAAAGGGAGTAGCCGCCACTGAAGAAAGTAAGAAAGAACGATCATTGTTGGCCCATTCTTGAATGATATGTAGCTTAACGATTGTTAAGTGTATACCATGAAAGCTAGTTGGTGCTTAGATTTACTTAGTGGGTTAGGTCTTTGTTGGTTATCTTAATGAAATTATTGTTTTCGCCTTGTTTTTTTTCCTTCTAAGTGTACACTATTTTATTTTTAATTTTTTTTTTTTCTGGTGCCTCTGGAGAATGCATTCGAGTTCTGTGTTTAATTACCTTAATTGACATTCTTTGATTTTTGCAGGAATATGTTCAGAAAATGAATTGTAAAAGTTACATTCCTGGACATTATTCAACAAGAGACCTTAATATGGACAGAGGAAACAGTTGGCCCGTATACTATGACAATAAATTACTGAGTGGTCATCTTCATAATAATTGCATTCTTAGTTCTCTGAATCTGTATTCTGAATATGACAAAGAAATGCTCAAACGAACAATGCTTGAACATGAAGCCATATTCAGAAAACAGGTATGTATGCTCTACACGTGGCCACCAAATTCCCCCGGAATCCCCAAATCAATTAGTTTTACATATATATTAGTTTTAGGGGTGTGCATTATATAACCAAGATTGAAAAATCATACCAAACAAATTTGGTTGATTCTATTCTATATAAAAACTTCATTTTGGGTTTTGGTTTTTAAATCTCAATATTCAGTTTTTGTTTATTAGTTTAATTTACATTTTATTTAACCAAACAAATCAAAAAATAAAAAAATCAAAATTAAACGGAGGATTCATGAAATTGAAATGATATTATACATGTAAGATATGCAATTCTTGATGTTTGCTCATAACCGATCTCCAGCTAACAACTAAATTTTACTGGTTTGTCATGGCTTTGAGCTTTTTAGAAGCTTAATTTCATAGTTTTACAAAGCGAACTTGTTTTAAAGGGAACATTCTAACTTCCCATGGAAATAGAGGCTTTTGTAGATCCAAGGAAGCATATATATTCAGCATTCGCTGCTCTTATTAAAGATCTCATTTTTACTCAATTCTTCTTCATTATTTCTTTTTTCTATGAACCAGGTGCATGAGCTTCATCGTCTGTATAGAATTCAGAAGGACCTGATGGAGAAATTCCATAAGAATGGTTCATACAGATTACCCACATGGACCCTCAAATCAAAAACTAGTTTTTGTTCATCGGAGACTCAATCTCAAGTCACAGAAAAAAAATGGCAAATGTACAAACAGCCTGCCTTGAGCAGCAGCCAGAGCAAGGAGACAACTACATTAACTAATACAAATGTTTCTCCCATTAGTACTCTTCAGTCTTGTTTTGATATGCCAGGAAATGGAGCCCTTGAGAATGAAGTGAAGCTCACTTTAGCCAATGTAAGCGATGCTGACGGTGGTGCTCACGAATATGATTCTCGTGGGAAGAATAGCCTTTTCGGTTGCTTAGCTGATCTAAATGAACCTATCGAAGATACGTCCTTAGGGGGAACATCTTATTCACAACGCTCTCAACAACTTGGCTTGGTTGAGAATCACAGGCCAAATGGTTCATTGAGATCAACCAATTCATGGCTGCAGATTTCATCTTCCAAAACTCTGGATTTTGATGAAAGTGGTTCCTTGCCTGAACTAGAGAAGGAACTAAGCCAAGTATGCTCTCAATTTCTTGGTGAAGCAGGTAAGATTGAAATCAGTATGGAGAATCTACTAAACTGTCTCTTATTAATTTCATTAAAATTGACATAAATCATTAATTTTGCATCAACTTTTTTACCATTATTACAGTTAAAGATACGTTCTTGTGATTCATTATAGTGCTTCCTGCTAAATGCAGTTGTTCTTCACAACTTTTATTGTACTATTAGTGCACTATGGTCTAATTGATATGTCAATTATATTCTTTTCTTAAATTTTCTTCCAAGACTTTCTAATTTAATGTTTTTTGACTGTTGGATTTCTAAAGAAGATAGCTTTGTTACTCTAACATTGATTGATTCTAACATACATTTAGAAGTTCTTATGCCCCCCCTTTTCCTTCCTATGAAATATCTTCTCAACTCTGCTTGGCTATATTTTCAGAGAAATCTAAATTCGATCTGAGCCTGGGTTCTGATAAAGAGAAATGCTCAACGCCCTGCAAACCAATCCAGATGAATCCAATCAAGGCCAATGACATTCTCTTACAAGATCTTAACAAAGCTGATAAACAATTTGCTCAGGAGAAAGGTTATTCTTCAAAAATTCCTCGAAAAAGCTCCGACGACGCTGTTTTGGACGGGAAACTAGCTTCATTGAACAGCAACACACCTTTGTTACCTGCATGGATGAAGCCATTAGGTGGCGAAAATCAGTGTTCTGCTGGACTTCAAACAATCTCAAGCTTTGACAAGTCAAAAACAATGAATAAATTGCAGTTTTGTAGTGATTTAAGGTCAAGTCGTATTGACAATGGAAGATTCTCTTATCAAAATGGGTTTAACCTTGGCTTCCACCGAGATTTTCATTTCGTTTCTCAACCAGATGTCTCATATAGTAATCCAAACCTCAACTTGAGAGAGAGTTTGAATGGAATAACTGATCCGAAGCTTATGGAAACGAGTAAGATGGATGGCGAATGCGAAGTATTGTCGCTAGAACTCCCGTGGCTCAAGAAAAAGCTCAATTGGAATGAGTTTTTGAAAGGAAATGAGGGAGCAGCAGAAATAGAAAGACCAGTACCTTCATGTAACGTGGAAAGCTTTCCATCAAATCCGTATTGCTGTGAGGAGAAAGCACAAAGGAATGAGGGACCTGATTGTTTGAGCGGAGAAAAGATTATTGGACTCCCTATTTTCGAAAAGATTCAACCAAATCTAAATTTTTTGAATGAAAGGCATCAGCAAGTTCATGGTTTACAGCATGGCAGTGTGTTCAGAGACAGAAATCATCTTAACCAAGAAAAAAGGTTACCTTGTGAAAAAGGTAGGAGCTTAATGAATCATATTGATCTGAATTGTGAAGTAACATTCATAGAAGAACCAAATCTATCAAAAATGTTGCCCGAAAGTACGGTCTGTGCCCCATCACAGCCATCGGATACATTATCTTCTTCGAAAGCTTCCTCCTTGATAGACATGGATGCACCTGTCATACTACCAGAAGAAAATGACTTGCAACGACATGGATGCTCACATGATACACTAATCGAGGAAGCAGCGAAGAGCATGATCACGTTGTCAATCGATAGATTCAAGCACGAGTTTGATGACCAGAACTGCTTAGCTGCCGAACCGCCATCCAATATCTTGCATTGGTTCGCCAATATGGCTTTGTTGAACATGCACACAAAAATATCAGATTTTGAAATGGATCCGTTTGAGCAGATGACCCTGCAGCTCAAAGAGATGAAACCTGAGGCGACATGGTGCAGTTCTCGAGAGATAGAAAAGGCTAAGGATGACGAGAAGAGTAAGTCTTTGCTGCTCTTTAAAAAGCCTCGAAGAGGCCAAGCGAGGAAGAGGAGGCAAAGAAGAGACTTTCAGAAGGACACTCTCCCTGGGCTTGCCACACTATCAAGAAAAGAGATGGTTGAAGACCTTCAGTTGATAGGTGGGCTAATGAAAGCATCAGGCTTGCATTGGGAAATGAGCACCGGACGACGTAATGGCACGCCGGTGAAGGTCAAAAGAAGGCAATTGCCAAGAAAAACCACCATTCCTGATATAAAGGGGCATAACAGACCTCAAAAGACAATGTTTTTATTTAATAAAAAGGCTAAAAATCCTGATTTCGAAGTTGGAAGGCCAGGCATGGTTGGGTGGGGGAGGACAACGAGGCGGTGCCGGAGACCAAGGTGCCATCTTCCACAAAATGTCGCTACGGCTCTAACCTGAGAGAGGTGGGGACTGATTACTACAATTCTCATCTTTTTGAAGGGAGGAAAAGTTTTCTTCAGTTCAATCTTGATGATATTTTACATGTTTTCTTGGTTAATATTCTGTATTGAGTTGCGTTTTGGTTTACAAACGGCTTGTACATTTCTAGAATAAAAAGCTAAATTAGTTCTTATTGAAGTAGGGGCTAACGGCTCAATTTAGCTTGATATCTTTAGGATTTCATTTAGGATTTATGTCAAAGGTGCTATTTGTAAATATTTTGTTTTTGAGATATTTAACTTCTTCATTAACTTTGATCACACTAGATTTGCAGTTTAATTCTTTAGGTGTAGCCATGCAAATATATAAGAATTGAGGTGTATATGCAAATCTTCCTTCACGTTTTTATGGATATCATTAACTGCAGAAAATGTGTTGTTTATATGTTTTGTGCGTGTATATATGGACAACGGATGTGATACAGCAGGAGTTCGGACCTCCGTTGTATCATGTCCGTTGTTCGGACGCAACTCTTGTCCGGACATCGGACTTGTCCGGACATCGGACGTAATATTTTCGCGTATATATGACGGTCTTAAAGTAATATCAAAATCATTTTTCAAAGTCAAAATATTTCCATTGATGATTAAGACAATATTCCTCTTGATTTTCTTGCAGATGATCGTTGTTCAAGAAATTTCACTTGTGGAGCATCGCTCCCACTTTTATATTAGATTGAGTTAGGTATAGATTCCCTATGAAGTACTTAACTCATTCATTTACTTTAATTTTAGGCTCCAAATATTTATATAATATATATTTTTTTTGGCATGCTTGCAAACCCGAACACAGGCACACAAAATATGCAAGGCCTTAAGCACGTGACATTTTAGTTGAAAGGCATAACATAACACTCAAACAACTAGTCAACTTATATGTCTGTAAAAGAGTCAGAGTTTGAGCGAGCTTAGGCATGACTCGTGTTCAGCTCGTTTGAAATTGCTCGTGAACAGTATGTTTGTGTTTAGTTCGATTTATATATTCTTATTCATGATCTAGCTTGTGACAGATGCCCGACCAACTGATCTGAGTACGCGACACAATTTTATATATATATATATACATACATACATGCACACATACATACATATGTATAGATTTACACCTACATATATATACATAGATATATATTTTTATATATGGAGGCTCTGCTAACAACGAACCCTAGCCTCTGCGACACGCTCGAAGAAGGATTTCGCGCCTGATTCTGTTTCATCTTCCCGTCTCGCGAGCTTTTCCAGGCTCTACGGCGTGGCTCTTCTTCTCGTCTTCCCGTCTCGCGAGTTTTCCCGGCTCTGCGTCTCGTCTTCCTGACTTTCCGTCTCACGAGTTTTCCAGGCTCGCGATTTTTCCCGTCTCTGCGGCTCGTCTTCCCGTCTTATTGTGTTTTCTCCATTTCAGATTCGACTGTTTTGAAGCCGATTTTTTTTGCGTGCTTATCGGAGTTGCTTTCTTCACTGTTTATAACGTCTCGTCTCTATCTATTGGGGATGGCTTCAGACAGATCGTATGCAGCTTCCCTTGCAGGTGTCCACGCCTCAGGTACACCTAAATCGTGTTCTTTCCCTCATTCATTTGAGTGGGCGGAGAACATCAAAAACCTAATAGGAAGAATGTGAAGCCTGTCATCCTTTTTATAGAAGCTGAAAGTATTCAACTTGTTTCCTTTTGTTGTCTGAATTTGGTTGGAAAATTTATGTATGACCATCTCAAAATGGAGTTTATTTGTAAGGAATTTGAGCTTATGCACTTTGAAGTAGAGTGAAAAATTAGACTTTTAGATGGAATAAACATTATTATTCAACTTAATAATGAAGAGGATTACACACGCTTATTTGCTAGAAGGATAATCTAGATTGATAATATAGCAATGAAGATTCTAAAATTGTTTGTGGATTTTGACCCACAAAAGGAATCACCAATCATTCCGGTTTGGATTCGCCTCCCCGATCTTAAATTTCATTATTTTACTCAAAAAATGTTATACTTTATTGTCTTAGCTTATGGTAAGTCACTCAAAACGAAAATTCATACTTTTAATCTTTCCCGTCCGTCTGAAGCCAGAGTACTTGTTGAAAGAGACGTCACTTCATCCGCTTCTGAGGAAATTTGGTTGGGCACACAAACACCATAGATACTGGCAAAACGTAGCAATTGAACATTTTCCTTTGCATTGTTTGAGCTGTCCACTCCAGTTCTCAATGCCACCATCTTAACCCCCAACTCAAACCAAAAAAGCATAGTGCTCCGTCAGAGGCAGTGAATCCATCTCCTCCTGATCAACTCTAAGTTATTGACACTATTGATCATCAAAAAGATACCACTGAAGACGTCACTATCCTTGCAATCAATATGTCAACCATTAAGTTTCCAATCGTGGGGGGTGAGGGAGACTCTTCAGACCCCACATGCTCTAGAACTTATCATTGATATTACATGTGACAATACTTCACTGCTTTACTACCACCTCATCGGTCGAGCAAGATGTTAATGTTACTCAGACTCATGGGGATCATGATATGCAACAGCCAACCTGTCCGGTCTCTAGCATTTTTGCGCCCGTTGGTGGCTTTTTGATATATTATTTTTATGTATATTTATTTTTATGTATATTTTCTTTATTTGAGATTTTGTGTGTGTTGTATTGTGTGAGTTGGGCCTGCTTTTAGGCCTTCTCATACAATCTCTGTATCTTTTTCTTTTTATAATAATAATAATAATAATAATAATAATAATAATATAATTTCCTTATTTCGAGCTAAAATGAGAACAAAAATATAATTAATTTATTCGTGTTCAACTCATTTATTTATCGAAAGATTCTAGTACGAGCTAGTGAGCTACTTAACAAGCCAAATACATGCTTTTTGTGAATAATAATTTTTTTTTTATGGGACCATAAACGTCTAATGATTATTTTGTCATTTTGAGATAAAATTATTTTAAATTTATTTTGCTAAAATTATTGTGAGATTGTAATTATTTAATTAGAAATTTATTATATATTGTAATAATGTGAATAAATTAACGAAATAAATATTATTTTAAATTCATATAAATATAAAATATTATTTCAATTTCGATTAGTACACAATTATTTAAAAACTGATTAATTTATTAACCTGATAAAAAAACTAAAAAGTATTCACTGAATTTATATTTTTCTAATATGAATTCATGTGAAATTTTAAATAATTTACGTTGCGTATAAATGTGTTAATTCGTTTGTTTTAAAAATAACATAGAATTAATTTTATAAAACTCATTTATATTAAATTTAAAAAATAGTTATGTAAAGGTTATAGTTCAGCTGTTAGATATGTAAATACATAGGAATTCAGTGGCCTTTTTGTAAATCTTGCTTGTTTCAGATGGCTCTTGCTTTCGTCGACTGGAAGCCGTGAAACGCCGACTCCGCCGTCGACGAACTGCGCAGATAACGTCCGGAAGGCATTTCTGGTTTCTTGGCGGAGTCTCTCTCTCTCTCTCTCACACACACAATCAATCAACCATCAAAACAGAAGAATGCTGCCATTAACGGCGAGGGGAAGATCACGGAGCTTTGTTGCGCCATTGCAAGTAGCCGGTTAGGTATTTCCTCCGGTAGAACTCCATAATGATTTTGAAATCGATCGACTTTTTTAAAAACTTACATAGATTTTCGTTTCATTTCTGAAGTTAGTTTTCTAGTTACGAGAAACCATATGGTGCCCAAAGAGGAATTCGTCCAGTGTTGAATGATTGTACGTAATTTAAAGTGTATCCATGAGCAACCGTAGGGCTGTTTGGTAGAGACTTACTGTTAATAAAATTTATCAGTGGATTTATTAAATCCAGCTAATGGGCAAAATGCAAGTTCCATAGATCTACGAATTTTCGGATTTAATAAATCCAAGGTTGCCTTCGATTCGGCCTAAATCCGGATTCATTAAATCAAGGGATGGATGTATTTGCGGATTTACGGATTTAGGGATTTACTAAGGGTCCGTTTGGAACAGCGGTGCGGTGGCGCACTGTAGTTTTGTCTATTTGGATAAAATATATTTTGACAATTTTTTTTAAAAAGCTGCATGTTACGGACATATAGTCCCACATTGGCTAGGTGTATGGCCGAAAAACAATATTTAAGTCCTGGGCTGCCCACCTCTCTAAAGGGCTCTTTTGGGAGGTGACAAGTGGTATCAACACAAATTACTGCCTGCTAGTTGTGTGGACTCTCCATGGTCCAGTGGGACCCTCGGTGGAGGCGATCCGTGACGAGGGCGTCACGTGATTGGGTGGAGGAGAATGTCACGGACAAATAGTTCCATATTGGCTAGGTGTAGGGCCAAAAAACAGTATTTAAGTCCTGGGCTGCCCACCTCTCTTAAGGACTCTTTTGGGAGGTGACATGCAGCTGAAATGTTTTTTCCTACCGGAGTTAGATGCGCAACTTTTTAAATATCAGATTTTTTTTCATCAACTTCACAAGTGTTTTTTAATAAACTGCAGCTGTCCCAAACATACCCTAAATACTACTAACATTAAATACTACTTGCGGCCAAACAGCCTCGTAGATGTTGATTTTATTTTGTTTTCAAAGTTGAATGTTATGGATGATAATCCCAAAATTGATGAACTTAAATGCTGCATTCCAACTTAGAGATGAATTTCCTTAATTCCTGATTTTATTTTCTATTTATTATTTAATTCGACATCGAATAGCTGGATGATGTTTGGCAGAATATTCATAATTAAATAGTTGTATGTTTGGCTTTTTCTTTACGTCTTTGCATTATTAGAAGGTATTGGATATATGTATATCTTGTTTTTCATGCCATGTGTGAAGCGTAGGTTGTTGGTCTCTTTTTATTGTTCCCATCTTTTAACAAAGCACATTGAATATTGAATTAGAATGACTAATTTATACCTGTGCTAGATTATTGCTTCAGGGAAATAGACATATGGCTTAGGTTTGGTAATTGTTCTGAAGTGACGACAACTATTGTATAATTGTGTAATTGTTTATTTATCAGGATATTGGGATGTGTAGCTCGATAACTTCGACTTAATATGAGATTGTTTGGCTGTTTGTAATGGATTTATAGAAGTGTTTGAATAGGATTTAACTTAAATGTTGCTTTTAAATTTCAATCTTTTTTGGCGTAAATGCCAGATTTAGTAAATCCAATTGTTAGACGGATTTGATGGGATTTACGTGAAAAAGGGCATGAAAGAGAAGAAAGGGGAAGTAATGACCTACAAGCTTCCATTGTAGTTGGAGCTTTGTTTGCAAGCAACAATGTGAAGTTCTATTGTGACTTCTCGTTTTCTTGCAAGTGTCGTCTTGATTCTTTCTCAAGAGTTTCAGGCAGGAACAAATGGGGGTAGAAAGTAGGTCTCGGATAAATAGCGAGAGTTTCATGTAAGAGTGGAAGGAGGGAAGAACAAAAGAGTTTCAAATTAGTAGTGCGAGGATGAGAATGAGCATTAAGGTCATAAAATACTCATTTAATTTAATTAATTTTATTAAGTTATGCTGATTAGATTACTAATTACAAAAAAAGTATTAAAGTAATTAAATTTTAATATTCATTTGATTTGAATGACTGAGAAAATTAAAATTTAATTAAATTTATAATTTCTTAAAGAATGATATATAAATATAGTATTTTGTTAAAGTTATCTTTAATTTTAAGTTGAGGTATTTTCAAGTAATTTAATTAATATATTTTTAGTAGATATTAAGAGTCGATTATTATTTAATTTGTTTTGTATAATTATAACTAATGGTTACTTTAACAAATAATTAATTAGTAATTAATAAATGAATATTAAAGTATTATTTAATAGCTAATTTGGTATGGTAATTATACTTATTATGTTCTTGAATGTGTAATACATTGGTTTGAAATGAAGTGAAGAATCCCAAGGTGTGTGCGGGCATTTATCTTGCCGGGAAAAAAAAATAAAAAGTAGGTGAGGGGAAATTCAAACAGTTGTAGTGAAGATATAGTGAAGATATTAGGTTAAATAATATGTATTAAACATATATAATAAATTTCTATCATTTATATTTTTTATTCTTGCTTTTTGTACAAAATTTTCAATTTTATGTGTTGATTTACGTGTTATTGGTTGATGTGTTAACCCAAATAATGTTGGCATCATTTTTAAGTAATTTCAATTTGTTGGACACGCTCGTGCAATCGGTTTTGTGATTGGACATCATTTGAGCAATTTCAAGAATATTTGATATCGTATACAAATCTCGTGTGTCGTGCCGATCGTTTGTCGACGTCGTTTTCATTGTGTTTGATTGTTTCGACCATAAAAGGTCTTCCCATATAGTTTCAATACTTTAAACTCATAAGCAAAGTTTATTTTATGAACATGTATATTTCAGACAATCTTGACAACAATCAAAACAATTTAGATTTGATTCGCCTATCATCCTATCTATCGTTTGTCATCTTTGTTGAGTAACTCCTATTGGGCAATTTTGACATTCTAAATGCATTTGCAAAATTCATTCTATGAACATGCGCCGTTTTAAGTGATCTTGGGCATGATTGAGGCATAATATCACATTCATCATTCCTGGTTCTCATTATGTTCGATCGACTTATCTTGTATAATATATAAATATAAGTATAAATATAAGTATAAATATAAATATAAATATATAATATATATATATATATATATATATAGAGGTCAACACGTTTGTTGGAGTCATCTTTAAACTTAGCTTGTTTTTCTACCTCAATCCTGTCTAGTGAGTCCATTTTACATTCAATCGTTTGGTTTCAACCTTAGCATATCTGAGTGTCTAATTATAGCATTCAATAAAAAAATGTTAAAATATATTTTTTCAGAACAATTACATGAATGCGTTAGGTAATAGCCAGTCACCTCTAAAAGCTTTTAATATTAAAAATATTTCTCTTCTATGTTTCCAAAAGTTTTTTTTTTTTAAAGACTCTTCAATTCAAGAAGCTGGTTGTTAACCTTTTCTTAGTAACAGCTAACAACTTTCAATCGAATTCGCATTTCCAAGATGGGATATGGTTTTTAAATATAAGCAAATGCTTCTAAAAGGTTGAATTTTAAGCATTTCAGTTTGAATTATATAATTTAAATACAATTTTAACCTACTCAGAATAACTAATACTTCAATATTTCACAGAAGATGCATTGAGCTTTTTCAATATTTATGTCCCACAGATAGATCTCAATGCTTGCATCGCTAGCATTATCTACTAATAACTGCGAAAACAGCTAAAAACATCATATAATTTTATTGACGGTCTTCATGGTAGTGCAGCGGTTAAGGATTTTGTGAAGAACTCCAAGCGCCTTAATCCTTCTTCAGAGGATTTACTTTCTCCTAATAGCTTAACAATAGCACTGCCTACAATCACGCCATTTGCTCCCCATATTGCTAGCTGCAAAATTAATTGGATCTTGTACGAATGCTGATGATTGAAATATTCTAAAGGGAAATTTACATTCATACGACCTAATTCTTATGTATTTACATATCTAACACAAACTTTAATTTTTACATATATGCCCCCTTTTTCATACATGAAAAGGTGTATTTCACTTTTTACATGTTAATATTGTGATATTTTTGATGTGATATGAAACATTCGGGGGTATAAATGTTAAAATCAAAATTTAAGTGTTAGATTTATAATTACATAAGAATTGGGTGGTGCGTATGTAAATGCCCCTATTATAAATGTACAGTTACTTGATTCATTAGAATGTGCAAACCTGCTTTAAGTCTTCTGGTTTTGATAATCCAAATCCAACTGCTATGGGCTTTGAGGTTTCCTGAGAAGAATGAATGAAACATTAGATCCTATATTCTCCATTACATTCCAAAGTTGATGCAATTTTAAAATGAGAAATTTGTTAAGATGATCTCCCAACTCTTTGTAAAGGGTTGTTTTAGTCTTAGACTTTATAAAAGTGTCAATTTTGTTTCAAGATTCTTTTAACATGGGTTGATATAACCCACAATGATGACTATTTTAGCCCATATTAAATGGTTTGGGGACTAATTTGATATTCTTATATACACTTGAACTAAAATGACCCTATGTCAATGTCGGCCTCTTTTATCGTTCAGCTTAATTTTCGT